CACTTAGGGCCCTCTCCTGCTCACCCCTCTATAAAACACTCTTTCCTAAATGACAGCCAACGTCTCCCCAACACCTTCATCCTCGGTTTCAGCAGAGGACTCTGAAAGGCACGGCCCTTTTCCTACTCATCACTGTCTGATATCTCCCCCTCTTACATTTGTACTTATTGTCTGGTCCTCATCCCCAAAGCTAAGAGCTAAAGGCAAGCATTTTGTATTCTTTCTTCAGTGCTGGAAGTCTAGACCAGTGCTTGGACCCAAGGGTGCTAGTCACACAGGCCCAGGAACAATTGAATCCCCAGATGAGGATGGTCTGAGTGGAAATGGTCTTCTTAGCAGGTGGACTATCCATAGCCAGTTAGTAACAGTTACTGATATGAACCAGTGTCTATAGTAGCGGTGGAACCTGTCCCTCACCTTCAAGGAAAGTCTGGGATGAACCCAGTTCTGCCTCTTTTCAATTACCAGAGGTTTTGACTATTTTTCCTTGCTGCTGGAAGCCAAGGTGATTTGCAGGTTTGCAGCAATGGCTGGAGAACTTCAAGCATCTTTTCTAAATTTTTGTTTGTTTTTATACAGAATTTTAAGTAGCCCAGGCTGGCTGGTGTTTAACTAATTCAAGGCTGAGGATGGCCTTGAATTTCTAATCCTCCCACCTCCACTTCCTGGGAAAGGGGATTGCAGCACAGCTGGGTTTTAGTTTGTTTTGTTTTGTTTTTTGCATAGTCCAGTATTGAACCCAGGGTCTCCTGCATAGTAGACAGCACCCTATTGACTAAACTCCATTCTCAACCCTTTTGTGGGGGGCAGATATTTCTGGAGTGACTAAGGTGTTTAAAGGTTGAACAGATGTCGACACAAATGTTTAAGAGACAAAAGAGAAAGGTGAAAAATCATGCAAAAATACAAGATTCTTGGTTTTTAGTGGCTTTGTGAGCCTAGTTGAGGAGCTCTTTGGGGGTGGTGTTTGAACCAGGGCCTCACTCTGTAGCAGTGTGTAGTCTAGAGCTCACTGGGCAGACCAGGCTGGCCTCTCAAAGGAACTCAGAGATGAGATCTGCCTGCCTCAGCTTGCAGAGTGCTGGGAGTCCGTTGTTTAAGAAAACCAATTCTACGTCTCCATCGTGATCAGGTCAAGTGGATGTCTACAACACGCCTGCAATGTGGTCATAAAGGATCAAGAGAGGAGTATGTGTAGAACTCTCAAGGAGAGCACCCAGCAAGGAGCAAGTCTTGTGGAAAGGTTGTTCTTAACTTAGAAGTAAGCTTAGCAAAGGCCGTAGGAGTTTGTCATTCCTCCGCCAGCTTTGAACTAGTGTTCTCCAACACTACTAGGTTCTTTTTATTGTTCTTATTATTTTTTATTCTTGAGACAGGGTTTCTCTGTAGCTTTGGAGTCTGTCCTGGAACTAGCTCTTGTAGATCAGGCTGGTCTAGAACTCGGAGATCTGCCTGCCTGAGTGCCTGGCTCACTACTAGGTTCTAATGCAAAGGTTGTGCAACCAAAGCTCTAAGGAATCTGTCTATTCTGTTTTAACTGCTCTGGCCTCCTGGGCGTCTGTCAGTGAGCTCCCAGTGGCCTGAGACAACAGAAGCGCCACCCATTCCCTTGAAGGCATCACGGTTAAACTTAACTCCTGAAGCGCCTCCTGAGACAAACCCATCACAGCGGTCACTAGGCAACTCAAATCAAACTCTGCCCTCTTCCGGAAATTTTAGGTTGGACACGTGCCCCTGGAAAGCGAATCAAAAAACCGGAGTGCTAAGGCCTTGGACGTAAGAGATGGAGAGGCTAGCGGAGGTGAAAGAGTGGGTTGGTCCAAGCCCCAGAGGGCGGACTTACAGGGTGGAGCCTGGAGCAAAGTCTGAGTAAGAACAGAAGCTGTGGGCGGAGCTCTGCCAGGGCGAACCTTGCCGCCTGACCTGGAACTCGCTTTGGGGTTTTCTTTGTTTTTGTTTGTTTGTTTCGAGCGAAGGTGTCTCCGTGTAGCCCAGGCTGTCCTGGAATTAGCTCTGTAGACCGAACTCCGAGATCCGCTTGCCTCTTCCTCCGGTGTGTTGGGATTGAAGGCGCGCCACCACTGCCCTACTGGCACTTTCTATTTTTGCCAGTAGTATTTGGCTTTTTTTTTTTTTTTTTTTTTTTTTTTTTTTTTTTTTTTTTTTTTTCTTTTTTTTTTTTTTTTTTTTTTTTTTTTTTTTTTTTTTTTTTTTTGGAGACAGGTCTCAGAGCGTTGGGATTAAAGGAGGCATGCACTGCTACACCAGCACTTTATTTAGTTATTACTATTTATTTCTGAGACAGGGTCTCTCTGTGTAGTCCTGGCTGTCCTGGAACTCCCTAGGTAGATCAGGCTGACCTTGATTCACAGAAACCCTCTTGCCTCTATCTCCAAAGTACTGAAATCAAAGACATCCATTAGCCCACAGTGCTCTGTTTTTAAAAACCTTTAGCCACCCTGAACCACCCTACCACTGGAAATGACATAAGTGGGGAAGGCTTCAGGCCAGGATTTGCTATCTGCCATTTCTACCACATTCACCAGGGGAAGAGAAAGCAGCAGTGTCTGAGCTGGGCACAGGTGGTGCACACCTTTAATCTCAGCACTCAGGAGGCAGAGGCAGGTGGGTCTCTTTGAGTTCAAGGCCAGCCCGGTCTACAAGAGCTAGTTCCAGGACAGGCTCCAAAGCTACAGAGAAACCCTGTCTCCAAGAACCAAAAAAGAAAGGGGGATGGGGGGAGACTGTCTTTTGCTGCCTTTGCTGTACATGAGCTTTGGGCTGATTTCTAGACCTGCCCCACCTTTTACTTAGGAACACCAGAGTGCTGGCAGACTGAACTCCAAGGTTAAGCAGTCTGCTCCTTATGCCGTACAACAGACCACCCAAATGCCCACTGGCATCAAATAGGAGCCCTTAATATATACACAGGTTCCTCAGGACGAGACTGACACCTGATAGGAGGTGTACCTTTGCCATGGATAGGGACACTAAGTGCCAATGCTCTATGCACAATCTTCCTCCTGCCTGGGGGGACTGGAGGCTTAGGTTGAACCCACCTAACAAGGATGAGTGGACCCCCATATGCTGCCTCTTCAGGTGTGTGGGCTTCCAACAGCATAGTGCTGGGTCCCAAGAGTGCCCTCTCTGAGCGCCAAGCTGGAGCTCAGTGTCTTTTTCTGCCCTAAACTCTGGAGCACCACTTCCCTAAAGATGGCGATGCTGTTCAGTTCCCAGTTCCCCAGTCCTCTCGCAACAGCCCTGAGATAGTCAACCGGTAAGGAGGAACTGCTTATTTTGCTCAACTCTGGAGCTGCACCCCATGTTCTTCTGGACCTGTTGCCTTTCTTTGCCCCTCCCGTCATGGCAGGGAGTGCGTAGGAGATGGAGCAAAGACCTTCACCTCACAATCAGAACAGAAGAGCAAGGAGACAACCACCGCACGATGGAAAGACGAGGTAGCTGTGCCCAGACCTCCACAGAGTGAAGAGACCGACAATTTGGATTGCACCCCAGTGGAATGTGGGACCTTGCAGTTGTTCCAACCAACACTATAGGAAGTAAATAATTTAGTTTTTTTTTTTTTCCGAGGCAGAGTTCGAGGGCAGCCTGGTTTACATAGTGAATTCCAGGACAACCAGGGTGACCCTGTCTCAAAAACAAACAAAAATTTAGTAAGACAGGATAAATTGTTAATTTAGACTTCAGGTCAGGTCACTAAATTTCAGGGAAATGTGTTTCACAGCCACAGAGGCGGAGACAGCACAGTGTTGCCCGTTGTCGACTTTTCTTTTTTTTTTTTTTTTTTTTTTTTCCGAGACAAGGTTTCTCTGTAGCTTTTGGTTCCTGTCCTGGAACTAGCTCTTGTAGACCAGGCTGGCCTCGAACTCACAGAGATCCGCCTGCCTCTGCCTCCCGAGTGCTGGGATTAAAGGCGGGCGCCTCCACCGCCCGACCGTTGTCAACTTTTCTGTGTTGACCTCCAGAGCCCAGCCTACCTCAGGGCCAGAACTGGAGACTTGTTGTCCTTTTAGGAGGAACAGCCCTAGCCTGACGCCAGTACTAACAGCTCTGCAGTCTTTCTTCTTCAGTACCTATGGCTGACACACATGGAGAGAACCTGTGAGAAGGTACTGTGTACACCAAATTCTCTCAGGCTATCACCAAGCGGAGGGTAGGGGCTTAAGCTCTGACAACACCCTTGAACACAAGGATGGGTGGCAGAGGCTCAGTTTAGAAGTTCTGCCTTCGCCCAGCTGTGTACACTCACAGTTGGTCTCTCTGGGCTTCTCAGTCTTCTCCCTGAGGAGGAGGGATTCACACTCACAGTTGGCCTCTCTGGGTTTCTCAGTCTTCTTCAGTGAGGTGGGGGAGCGCTGAGCAAGGATCTCTGGCAATGTCACTTTCTGTGACCGATACTGGGCATTCTGAAGTTATGGGAAACCACCACTGGGGGGAACACGAAGCCAGCATATGGTTGGATCCCATCCCCACCCAGAGCCTTCTCAAAGGCCACATACCAGCCTTCCCAACAGTTTTCCCTGTCCTGTCTCTCGTCTCTCCAGTTCAAGTCTCAGGCTTTGGCTCCCTTATATGGCTGCTAACACTTGACTTTCAGCATAGACAGCAGGAGGAGAGTTGAACATGACACCCTTGGGAGATCAGGAATAGCTGCTTTCTGAGTCAGATGTGCCAGGGGTTCTGGGATGAGGATTTAAACCAAGCAAACTTCCTTCTCTAGTGCCCCTCCCTCACTCTCTGGGATGCCCGAGGAGACCCTTCAAGCACAAACCTTAGCCACAAGGGTTAGTCACTACCCTGGAAGAGAAGGGCTGCCCATACTCCTCCTCTTCTCTCACAGCTCTAAATTAGTCTTTCCCAGAACAAACCTGCTTCATATCAAACATGCTTCAGCCTAGTTCTTGTCTTTAAAAAAAAAAAAAAAAAAACAAGTGGCAGAAAAAGGCAAAGGAAAAGAACTCTCCAGTACCAGGTAGAGATCTGACAGCAGAGACTTTATTAAGTATACCCCCCTCCAAATATAAACACAACTCAGTAAAAAAACCAAAACAAACCATAAAACATCAGGCCTGGAGCCGTAATAAAACAGACAAATGAGCAACACAATTACAGAGGTGGCCTAAATGGGGAGGACAGAGCCAAGTGGACTCATGTGGGGCGGGGACGGCCATAGATACTGAAGGACTTTAACCTGGGAGCCCTAGGATGCCCTAGTGAGCCTGGGGAGCAAAGCTGGGGGCAGTGTCAGTAGCTAGATGGCTCTGGGGGACAGATGCTGCTTGGCTTGGCCCTGGCTGCCACTTGGCCCCACACCCCAGCTGGGAGCAACTTCACTTGGGCCCCTGGGCTTCGGATTCCTCGTCATCATCTTCGTACATTTCACCCTCCTCCTCAGCTGTGGCATCCTGGTACTGCTGGTACTCAGACACCAGGTCATTCATGTTGCTCTCGGCCTCGGTGAACTCCATCTCATCCATGCCCTCGCCCGTGTACCAGTGCAGGAAGGCCTTGCGCCGGAACATGGCTGTGAACTGCTCCGAGATGCGCTTGAAGAGCTCCTGGATGGCCGTGCTGTTGCCGATGAAGGTGGATGACATCTTGAGCCCGCGGGGTGGGATATCGCACACGGCTACCTTGACATTGTTGGGGATCCACTCCACGAAGTAGCTGCTGTTCTTACTCTGGATGGCCAGCATCTGCTCATCCACCTCCTTCATGGACATGCGCCCACGGAAGACAGTGGCCACTGTCAGGTAACGGCCGTGGCGTGGGTCACAGGCAGCCATCATATTCTTGGCATCAAACATCTGCTGGGTAAGCTCAGGTACCGTCAGGGCACGGTACTGCTGGCTGCCCCGGGCTGTAAGTGGGGCAAAGCCAGGCATGAAGAAGTGCAAGCGGGGGAAGGGCACCATGTTGACAGCCAGCTTGCGGAGGTCAGCATTGAGTTGACCGGGGAATCGAAGGGAGGTAGTGACTCCACTCATGGTAGCAGACACGAGGTGGTTGAGGTCCCCATAGGTGGGTGTGGCCAGCTTGAGGGTGCGGAAGCAGATGTCGTAGAGGGCCTCATTGTCGATACAGTAGGTTTCATCCGTGTTCTCCACCAGCTGGTGGATGGACAGGGTGGCGTTGTAGGGCTCCACCACAGTGTCCGACACTTTGGGCGAGGGCACCACGCTGAAGGTGTTCATGATGCGGTCAGGGTACTCCTCACGCACCTTGCTGATGAGCAGCGTGCCCATGCCTGAGCCTGTGCCCCCGCCCAGCGAGTGTGTCAGCTGGAAGCCCTGCAGGCAGTCGCAGTTTTCACACTCCTTCCGCACGACATCCAGGACTGAGTCCACCAACTCTGCGCCCTCAGTATAGTGCCCTTTGGCCCAGTTGTTGCCAGCGCCACTCTGACCTGTAGAGACAGAAGAAGCAGGTGATGGGCTAAGTCAAGGGTCTACAGCAGGACCTGCCAGACACCCAGAAGTACGTTGGTTCCCCTGTGGTCTGTAAAATGCACACTGCTAATACGCCTTCTCATTCCACCCTGGGCATCACTGTTGAGTTGCGGGGATCTCAGCTGCAGACGCTGTGAACAGGGTATGGAGAATCTGGGATGAGACGAGATGTCCCAGATGAATAGCTCAGCCTTCCTCTCTGGCTCACCTTTCTTTCCAACGGTCTGCTGAGACCTCGAAGGGAGATGAAGGCTGTCCTTAATTCAGTCACCTCATCCCTCTAAACCAGCATAAAACAAAACCCTGAGCATCTCTTGTGACCGAGGACTGGCTGAGAACTGGCACGTGCTAGGTCTTTAAACACAACGACACATTTGTTTCTTTAGAGAGAGAATATGTATGTGTTGGGTACATGTGCATGTGTGGGCGTGCACACACCCTGGCACACGTGTGAAGCTCAGAGGACAACTTAAAGGGGTTGGTTCTCTCTTTCTACCACCTGGATCCCGGGGATTGAACTCAGATCATCAGGTTTGATCACAAGCCTCTTTACCTACTGAGCTGTTTTACTGACTCAAGATGCTAGAGTCCTGAAAGGAGAGGTGCAAGACTGCCCTCCTGTGTCTGTCACGGGCATAGGCTCAAGGATAACTTGACCTCTTGGCACATGCTCATAAACTGAGGTCCACCAGAGACTTTTGTTTTTTTGTTTTGTTTTTCAAGACAGAATTTCTCTACGTAGCCCTAGCTGTCATGGAACTCCTTCTGTAGACCAGGCTGGCCTCAAACTCATAGAGATTTGCCTGCTTCTGCCAACCAAGTGCTGGGATTAAAGGTGTGTGTCACCACCACCCAGTCTGACATCCCTACTGTTGTCCCCACAACTCTGTGATAATTCCAAAAGCTTGTGCTTTATATGTTATTCTTTGTAAAATGTTGAGAGGGATTATTTCCTACACAGAACCCTGTATCTGGACCTCTAATGTCCACTGTAATATGGAAAGTCATTTTCGCCCTCCAGAGTCCCAGTGAAAAATAATCCCCTCAGACATTCGGTCTCTGTTGACTGGGGTTTTCCAGGCCCAGGTTTCTGTCATCAGAGCCTGGAGCAGGGGAACTTACCAAAGATAAAGTTGTCAGGCCTGAATAGGTGCCCAAAGGCTCCAGACCGCACACTGTCCATGGTTCCAGGTTCCAGGTCCACCAGAATGGCTCTGGGCACATACTTGTGAGCTGAGAGGAAAGAGGAGTCAGCCGTGTGAGTTAAAGAGTTAGGGGAACCTGCTTCCCTCTGAATCCTGCCCTCAGCCTGCCAGTCTCCCGCACTTAGTAAGGGCTAGAACTTGTATTCTAGGCATGGACCCATAAGCTCTGGCCTGGCCATGAGTGTAATGACGGACACCCAGGACAGGCAGGATCAAGTTTTGCCCTGGACTACTCAAGGCCATCGCTAACATGAAATACATTTGCATCTTACTCCAGGGTAGTCACTTTTTATGCTGTGGATTTGGGTGCCTCATTTACAGTCATACCTGCTAGGTTCTTGGTCAGTGAATGCTAGGGCTCTATTTACCCAGGGGCCTTTCTTGCCAGGGTGAGGATGGACGGGGAGTGGTACTCACAGGAGGCCTCATTGTAGTACACGCTGATGCGTTCCAGCTGCAGGTCTGAGTCCCCCACGTAGTTGCCACTGGGGTCTATGCCATGTTCATCACTGATGACCTCCCAGAACTGTATAAGGACAGGAGAAAAGAGTTCAGTGGGCACTGTGACCCTGCTAGTAGGTCTTTGCCGTTCTGAAGTCTTAAAGCCCTCGGTGCAAAAGTAAAACTTCGGGACCTTACTAGACACAACATACGGCTTTAGAAAAGAATGAAAAATGCATATCTACTCTGCATTATCTGGCTAACATTACCAGGCCCCCAGGTTGGACTAGGACTCAGCCCACCCTGGCAGGTTCTACCCAGTGCTGCACCTGTAGGGAAATGCAGATCTCTCCTGAGGTCATTTTTTATTCTTCCTTTTTGGGAAAGGAACTGAAGGCACACAGAAGGTAGAAATCTGCCCAGAGCAGGTGGTAGAGCCGGTCGGATTCAGCATCGGGTTCTTAGTCACTACCTGTGACCCTTAGTGCCAGTGTAAGCCATTTACACGGGCAGGTTCCATGGGTGCCTGGTATGTTGTCATTGGCCTCAGGCAGTGTGACCCACAGTTGGATCTGCAGAAGTGCCCCCAGGAGTCTCCAGCAGCAGAATGGCTTGTCTGAGGCAGAGACAGGTGGATCTCTGTGAGTTTGAGGTCAGCCTGGTTTACAAGAGCTAGTTCCAGGACAGCCAGCTAGGACTATTACACAGAGAAACCCTGTTTTGAAAAAAAAAAAAAAAGGCTTGTCTGAGGTCACGCACCTGCCTTATCTAGGAGCCTAGCACACCCAGGATCATTGGCTGACAAGCTGCTACCCTCAGGTAGTGAGCCGCTTGCACAAGAACGCAGTGCTCCTCAGAACTGCCACTGCCACCATCACTTCAGCAGAGCAAGACAGCACAGAGCAAGGAGTAAGAATCAGAGTCCACAGTGGCCGCACAAGGGCTCAACATGCTCGTTCTGCTCATTAGTGTCCTCCGTACACTGGCCTGGCTCCAGGACAACAGGGTCTTGTGCAAACACAGTTAGTCGCATAGAGCACAGGAGTAAGGGCAGCAGATAGTCACTGTTATATAGTCCCGGGGACCCGGGAGGGAAAGGCCTACAGACCGGAAGACGCTTCATCAGGGCACACAGAGTACCAGGCCAGCAGCAGCCACCTTGGCTGCGACACCCTTCATCACTGCTAGGAGCTCCAGAGAGAGAACTGCAGATAAGTTAACAATATAAAGACCTAGAGGAACGAAAGACCTCTACCTGGGAGTCGTGTGGAGAAAAAGATTGATTGCTCAGGGTTGAAAGCAGCTTAGGAAACAGTCTGCATGTGCTGTCTATATTTAGATGTCTTAGAGACATCCTGGGACAGGGTCTTGGGGTTGAGAAAAAGAGCATTTTCACTGTCAACCCTTTGGTGCTGTTGGACTTTTGTCACGTGCACGGTAGCTTTAATTTTATTTATTATTTTTCATTTTATTTATTTATTTTTGAAACAGGGTTTCTCTGTGTAGTCTTGGCTGTCCTGGAGCTCACCCTGTAGACCAAACAAAGAAACACAAAACTGAAACAAGGCTCTTGGTCTGTCACCCAAGCCGAAGCAACCTTCATCTCCCTGCCTCAGCCTCTCGGGTCGCTGGTACTGCGCGTGTGCAGCAGCGTGCTCAGTTCTCTGCAGTTTTCAGGTTCTGCTTTTTTCACTCTGCTGGAGATCAGCTTCGAGGCTACTTGCATGCTAAACAAACTAATGCCTGATCACTGGGCCACATCTCCAGCCAACAACTGCTTTTGTAAATTAAAAGTAGTAAAATGAGCCGGGCAGTGGTGGCGCACGCCTTTAATCCCAGCACTCAGGAGGCAGAGACAGGCGGATCTCTGTGAGTTCGAGGCCAGCCTGGGCTACAAGAGCTAGTTCCAGGACAGGAACCAAAAAGCTACAGAGAAACCCTGTCTCGAAAAAAAAAAAAAAAGTAGTAAAATGCAGTTCAGAATAAAATATTCCTTGCTGCAATGGTACAGAGCTGCAAACCCAGTACTTAGCAGGCTGAGGCTGGAGGATGATGAGTTCAAGGCCAGTCTGGGCTACATATTAAGAGGCTAACATATAATAATAACATAATAGAATACATAGAATATTCTACATAGAATATTTAATAAGTAAATTAATAGACTTATTTAAATTAAATGAATAGACTTATTTAGATCAAGTAGCATCACTACAGAGAAGAAACCACCAGGTGTTGTGAGCCCAATCTAAACATCTGTTGGGCTCCAGATTCCAGCCGGCAAACCACAGTGCTGCTGTCCACGGTGCTGACCCTCTTGGGGTGCGGGCCTCTGAAGACAGCAGGGTAGTGGTCCAAGAGTACAAACAGAGTTGGGATGGATGCATGACTCTTGCAGGGGGGTCCATGAGCCCCTAAAGATATTCAGTTTCCCTGGAAATTGCAAGGCCCATTGGTGCTCAGGTGGGTCAAACCCTCCAAAGGCTCCTGCTTGGGTGGGGTGATACTCAGGCAGCCAGTGGGGCACACACAAGAAGTGTAGACAAAGGCACCATAAAGATATTTTCCAGGGGACCCCTTTATAGGAGAATGAATCTAGGATCCCAGGTCCCAGCAAAGGGAACAAAAAGGGCGGCTCAGTCATTTCTGCTCCTAGGTGGGGGCACATGTCACCACCCACCTTGACACATCTGCACACACCTATACTAAAATTCCTGCCTTGCTCCAATCCACTGTGTGATCCGAGGCAAGTGACTCAACATCTAGAACCTTCATCTTTCTCAGCCTTGAGAGAGGGTGATACCCACCACACACACACACACACACACACACACACACACACACACACACGGTGTAATGTGCAGCAGGCCCAGGGTTTTCACTCACAGGAGGTGGTGACCTGATGCATTGCTCATGCACCCCTTCTGCTGCTTCCAAGCATTTCCTCCTGGCCTCACACTTCTTGCCTCTGTGCCACCCACACCTCTGCCCTGTTGCCTCTCTGAAGCAGTGGCCCTTGGTGCCAGGATAGGCACCACCCAAGGACCCACAAGCAGAAAACCAGCCCTTGGCGCTCACTCCCTCAGCTGCTTCAGGTGGCGGGGAAAACTTTCCCCGCTGTAGCTAACACCAGGGACCCTAAAGCCAGCTGCAAAATAGGAAGTAAGTCTGGCCAAGGAAGTTCAAATGGCCTGGGGCCGAAGCTAAGCGCTAAGCGGGGCTGGCCCTTCTGTTGGTCTCTGGGAGAGCTTCTAGGTCAGAGGGCCTTGTACTGACTACTACGCCCACGCAGGGAGACAATGGGAAAGGAAGACACGCCTGCCCAGATAGTTTACTCATTGTTTGCACTGTTAAAAAAGGATCAGGTATTCAAAATTTAAAAACATGTAATTAAAAAAAACCCACCACAACAAAACAACAAAAGAATGAAAAAGGGGAAACCTAAGGGCCATAGTGCTGAGAAGCAGATCAAGCTCAGCTGAGTCCGGTGCTCGGGCCTCTTCTCAAGCTCACGTTCCTGGGATGGACCGTGTCTGGACACGGACCTGACTTCCAGGCCCTTGCTAAACGGGAGACCCTGCGAGCACAGGACAGCACCAGCTCCAGCACCGGAGAACCACCCAACTGGCCTTGGGATGGCAATGCTCCCCTCCCCCACTCACCCCCCGGCTTGTCCAGGCGCAGATGTTCGCGGAAGGCCTGGCACCTGTGACCACATTAATGCACGCTCACCCTCCCTTCAGGCCAGGGCAGCTGTCAGTGATTACCCCAGGAGTTCTGATTTGATCTTGGGCTTCCCCTGCAAGCCCCCTCCCCAAGTTCCCCTCTAGAATAGGAACAGCTGTCTCCTCAGTGATTAGGGAGCCTCCCTGGCGCTGCTTCCCTCCCCCCCCCCAACTAGAGGAACCTCCACCCTAGAGCCAAACTTGCAATTTACATGTCAGCCACGTGACCGCCCCAGCCCGTGGTAATTAGCTTTTTGTTCCTGCCCGGTTTCTATGGCAACAGCCTCCAGAGGTAATCGTTGCTTCGGTCCCCTCCCTTCCAGGACCTGTCTACCCCACCTCCTCCTTTGGGAACTAGCTATACACGGAGCCCCGTCCAGCGCCCAGCATCCGCCTGGACAAAGCCCCATCTCAAATATGGAGCTCAAACAATAGTTCAGAGGGAGAAGAAGGAGGTAGCTGACCCCACCCTCCCAGACCCAACCCAATCCCAAACTGGGTTTCTACAGGGCTCAAGCGGTTCTGTCTCCCACTGGCTGTGTGACCTTGAGTAAGGAATCCTAGGGCGTGGAAACAGGACAGGTACCTCACTAATCACAGCCGGGTTGCCGAGTCACTGCACCAACCCCCCCTCTTTTTTTTTTCTTTCTTTTTTTTTTCCGCCTAAGCTTCAACACCTGGTGGGGGGCTAACAATAGAGGAGAAACAGGCCTTCCTTTGCAGTTGGCTTTGTTCCGTGCTCAGTCCCCAGTGGGAGGCTCTGGGAGGGGGCAGTTAGAGGTGGGAGATTTGCAAAAATAGGGAGAATCCAGTTCTGGACCAAGGTCATCGGAGTCCAGGCCCAACCCCTCCAACAAAGGAACAGGGTGGGGCAAGGAAGCTGAGGGTGCTCTGAGCAAGGCTGAGGAGGTGAGGGCGGCCTTACTTCTTGAAGACCGTCCAGTTCTCCAGTAGGGGTTCGGGCATGTACAGTCATTATGGCTTTAGGGGAGAGCCCCACCCAAAGTTGCCCGACACACCCATCTTACTCAAGGCTTAAGTGGCAGTCTCAAAGAAGGCCACGCCCAGTCGGCGCCCCCAACCATATCCACTGTACCTGCTGGAGCCATGGTGTGTGCGGGTGAGCAGAATGGATGGAAGTGAGAGTCAGAAGGGTTTGCCGCTAGCTGTCTGCAGCAACCTAGGTGGGGGGCAAAGTGACGCGAGTGAGGGGAGCTGACTGGGGATCCCAGGGTCCCAGGAGCCGGGCAAGGGGCTGGGCAAGGGGCTGGGCTCTTCCCTTTGTTCCGCTAGCCGCTCCCAGAACAGCCTCTTTCTCCCCCCTCCCCCGGGGCTGGCTCTCGTGGGGACGCAGGACGCCAGACGGCTCAGCCTCACCTTGGCCCCTATCTGGTTGCCGCACTGGCCGGCCTGGATGTGCACGATCTCCCTCATGCTGACTTCAAACGGCTTGAGCTGAGAAGCAGGCGGACAGCGGGCTGCGGAGGATCGGTGGCCTCCGCCGCGCCCTCTTATAAGAGGCTGCCCCGCCCTCGCTAGCTGATGTCAGTGCTGCCGACCAATGCTGCGGCGCTGCCGCAGAATGCGGCAGGCTCTGCAGCATCAGCACCACGCATCGAGATCCGCCCGCACAATGCGGAGCATGTCTGGCCGCGCCTTCGGAGGAGGGGCCACCGGAGGGCCTTCGGCTCTGGGGACAATAGAGAGCCCAGGCTCCTCAGTGCCCCACCCCAATAGCTACCCTCCCCAATTCGTCCCACCCTGCAGCTTTGTGAAGAAGGTCTTTTTTACTCTCACGTACTTAAGAATCAAGACCCATATTCTCTGAGTTTGCTGGGTTCCTTGGGGTGTGCGAGTTTGGGAAAGCTGGAGCCTTCTTGATACTTCTGTGAAGAACTGGGAACGCAAGTCAGGAGGGTGGTGGATTATAGCTCCAACTCTGAGGTCACTGTTTTCTGGAGGAGAGAGGGCTACCAGTCCCTTGCTCCACAAAGGGTTGGCGGTGAGGGTGCAGATGTACCTGGGATGCGAGGATGCAGTTTCTGGCAAGTAACACCGTTTCATGATTATCTGCGTAGAAAATTCACTTAAGGAGATACAAGCCAGTCAGTGGACGATGTTGAACAATGTTTTCTGCCTGAGCCGTCCCTGATGTCATTGGTACCCCCCCCTTCACTCTTGGTACAAGTGAGGGCAAAAAGGGGGCGTGGAGTGAGCTGGAGCTACTAGGTAAGGAGACTGAGTGTGTGTGGAGGGGGCCCATTGGGAGGAAGAGTCAAATGGTCAGAAGAAGACATGCAATGTGTTCATATACAACACTGATTTAATATTCATCTATGGCCAGTGACACGTCGTGGGGACTTTTTGATCTTTCAATGGCAAAAGTTCTGAAAGAGTTTGAGACAGTACTACCACACATGGATGGTCCAAAAACATTCATTTCACAAGATCAGCTAAAAGCAATCTGCCGGTGCCTTTGTCCAGTTTGCACGGGCGTGTGCTGGATACAGTGGCTGTGTACAGCTCCTCTCTGAGGATAAGCTTCTGAGTTCGCCGAGTTTAGAAATGGGTCTTTTGTTCTCAAGAGATGCTCCTCCCCCACAGTGTGTCCATGATGTGGCTTTTTGTAGCTGATTTCCAGCTGGCCTGGTTCAAGAAGTCCTGGGTGAGCATCTGGCCCTGTCTCCTCGTCTGGACAGGGAAGATGCCTGGAAGCATTTGGAGGCCTGGGCTGCCTCCCTGTCAGATGACATCAGGCCAGGCCAGCTCCCCATGTCCCCAGAGAGCTATGGTGCCAGGATAAAGGCTGACTCACGGTCCTGTCTTCCAGCAAAGGCTGGCCTTGCCGGGAACCAGCTTCCAACCTCAGTACAGCAAGGCTGGAGCTGATAGTGCGGCTACAGTCTGGCTTGATGCCACCACGCCCTGTCTCAGAGGTGGTTGAGGGCATATTAGGCCAGACTGAGGTCACCCCAGGGAGGAGGACAGTGGAGTGCTTAGCATCGGTGGGGGACCCAATATAGACTCTGCAGTAGGAATTCCAGGTTGTAGCAGTAGAAGGGCTTGGGAGTCTGCCATTCCACAGCAAGAACTGTGCCTCACCCCATGTGCCACTCCCTGGGACTCAGATACCCTCAAGCTCCTAGGCACCCTCCTCCATCCTGAGAGCCAGTCTAAGAGCACTGGCACTGCCAGCCTCTCCCAGGAGGGCAATGTTGAATAGAAACAGACCCCAACCCCTGACCTCTGCTATGCTGCAGGCTCCTCAGGGTAGCTCAGTGGTGCCATGGCTGAAGGTGCTGGAGGAATGAGGCCAGGAAAGGGGCAGGCTCTGGCCGAGGTTACAGGTGGGTCCTACCAGGGGCTGGGACTCTGGTCCTGCGGCAGTGTATGGCTGAACTGGAAGGAGCCTGAACAGTCTTGTTACCAGAGAGGTAAAGTTGAGGCTTCTCAACCTGCAGCTCCTTGCTCTGTTCTAGCTTTTGTAATACAGAGGAAGCCAAGTTGGCCTGATTAGGGTATTTGGTGTGCTTCCGGACCGTGAATTCCTAATTCAGGCAGGCAGCTGTGGCTTCTGAGGCTCCCTTCTTCCTGTCCTGACTGCTGTCCTTACCCTTTTCCCACTCAAACTTGAAGCAACTTCCAGACAGAGCTAGGGAAGATAGTGATGAGGTTCCCTCTGAACTTAGCATTTCAATGGCTTTCTGGATCAGAGCCACAGGTTGTGCCACTAATAGGCCAATGGCCTCTACCGAGGCCAGAGGTCCCACCTCTTGGGATTGCCATGAACCATATGACTAGTCTTTAGGTCAGTCCCATTCCTCTAATGCTAGATGCATGTTCTGCAATGCTGGTCCCTTTATTGAGGAAGGGCCTCGCTTGCTTAAACAGCCTACTGCATGGCTATGGCTGGATTTCCTGGTCACAAATTCCCCTTTCGGAAGCCCTCACCAGGAGCAGGGCTCCTTCACTGCTCTTGTCATTCTTTTAATTCAGAAACTTCCTGTTCATCCCGGCAGTAGAGGGCCCAGCCTGAGTGACCTGAGGAGTTGGGGGGGTGGGGCTAGTCACTGAGTAGAGGTGAAGCTCCCCAGAGGTAGGGACAGTCTCTTCAGGAGCCCTTGACCTGACCCTTGCCTGGAGCTAGAATTCCCATCCCATTTCTTTCATTCCCCACAGCTACCCTGGATGATCCCTGCAGTCACATTTACCCTTCCTCTTGGTCCCAGGCAGTTTGTGTTTCTATTTTAAAGTTCATCTAATGCGCCCTTGGACAAATAGAGACCAGTACCTGTGGTCTTGCAGGATGCGGGCCACGGGATATCACTGTCACCCTCTGCCCAGCGCCCTGGCCACGAGAACAAAAGCCACCTCCCCGCTCACCATGAGCACAGCAGCACCTCCCTGAGTGTCATGCGGAGCTCCTGACTGCGAAAAGCATAGATGAGGGGGTCAACGATGGAGCTGAAGATGATGAGAACGAGGAAGAGGTTGAAGTTCTTAAAGACGCAGCTGCAGGTGGGGTGCTGAGGGCAGAGAACGATGAGTAAGAGATGCAGGAAGAAGGGGCCCCAGCATAGGAAGAAAATCCCCAGAAGGATAGTGAGGGTGGCGGCACCCTTAAGGCAGAAGCCTTGGCGGGCGGAGCGCTGCCTCTTGTGGAGCCGGGCGATCCCCTGTGCATGCTGGCACGCTCGAGTGAGCATGTGGACATACAGAATGGCCATGAGTGCCAGCATCGCGAGGAAGAAAGTGACAAGGCAGATGAGGACAGCTGTGTGATTGTAGTAGGTGATAAAGAGGGTGCTGAAGGAGACGCTGGCCAGCCAGATGCCCACGATGGCCCGTCGTGCCCGGGGCAGTGTCACAATGCTGTGGTAACGCAGGGCGTAGAAGATGGAGATGTAGCGGTCTATGGCGATGACGCCGAGGAAGCACAGACTGGACACCATGGAGCCACAGATGAGCACGTCCATGACATTGTCCAGCTGCTGCACCAAGGCAGCCCGGGTCACCAGGGCCCCCGCCTCCAGGAGCAGGATGATAGCAGTCTCCAGCACGATGCTTATACCCACCATCAGGTCAGACAGGGCCAGACAGCAGATGAAGCAATACATGGGTGAGTGCAGGTTGCGGTTTTTGGTGATGGCTATCACGACCAGCACGTTCTCCACCAGACTCACCAGCCCCAGGCTGAGGAAGAGGCCATCTGGGATAGACACCTGCAGGCACCAAGGCCCTGTCTGGTTGGTGGCCAGTCCAAGGTGAGGGGTGGCTGTGGAGGTAGAGTTGAGAGAACCCAGAAGCCTCTTCTGGGGTCCCTGAGTGGGCATAGTCTTGTCCAGGAAGTCGGAAGCAGTCAGGGGAGCCTTCAGCTCCAGGTGGTATCAGCCTCCCGGTGTCCTGGTGGGCTCATGGTGTCATCAGGGGTCTCTGCCGCTCCTCACACCCTGCCTCTTTCCATCTGGGCGCTCTCCAACTTTCCTTCACACTTGCCCTCTTTCCGGCCGGACAGGTCAGCCTTCGCATGGCACAAGCAGAGTCTAGACTCTTCCTGGCTGAGACTCTGAGCTCTGCTCATGAAGTCTCGCTACCTGTGTAAAGGAGCCCAGCCTTCTGCTGCCCTCGCTGCCTCCTCCTGGGAAGTGACTCGGATAGAGACAATGCTAAACTTAGCACCTCCCAGTTTCTTGGTCCCCTGCCTCCCCCAAGCCAGGGTGGGCTGAGGTCGGGGGAAGAATGGAGCCTTTCTCTGAATCTTTTAACTCGCCCCTCCTCCTCAGGGTGGCCACATGACGGGCATGTGCCCCAGCACCCTGGACTGCCTCTAGGGGGCATAAGCAGCACCCAGAAACTGGAGAACCTGGCTCCAGACTCCAGCACAGGCTACTGCATTTCCCTTTGTGTTCAAAGCCCCCGCAGACTTCCCAAATCCCTTTCAGGCATCCAGTCTCACCTTTCAGGCATCCAGTCTCACCAGGACCTGGCCTGTGTAGCCCCACCTAAACCTCCAAACCTATCTCTGCGCCACTTTCTTGAGTTGTCTTCGACCTCCCCCCTCTCATGCTGCTCTGCCTCGGGCACAGTCACAGGTTGTGAACTGGGCACCCCGACTCCCACCCTCACCACCATGCCAGGGGCAGTGACACTTCCGTCTAAAGTGGGGGATGTGTACATAGAGCATCAACTCAGCTACGGAGGTCAAGGTAGCTTGAATTCAAGGCTGAACTGAGAACTTGAGAATCAATGACAGCAGGGTTAAGGACTCTCCACATCCTTCAAGGCCCCAAGATTGCTAAAGCCTCCTTTAGCTACAGTTCTGGGTGTGGCAGGAAGCTTGTCACTTCCTGGGAGCTGAGTAGAGGGGAGCCTGGGGCTATCCACTAGCATTCTTTAGTTATGGCCTCTCTTGACACTCCTGAATCCCTCCTCTCCCCAGGGCACAACCCTTCCTCCCAGAAGTCCCATTTCCTCTGTGGAGCACATGCCAGCCCTGGAGCCAGGAACTACATCAGAGTAGACTCTGTGGGCCAGTAGCTGGGCATGTGACTATTCAGTGATCAGGACAGCAGGCAGGGGTGGTACCAACCCTCCCCAGCCCACCTCTAGCCGCTGCTGGGCTTTCTCCATGGCACCCACAGCTTTCTCATCAGCACAAGATGCTCCCTTCCATGCAAGTGAAGAAAATAAGGTAAGAAAGCCAGCAGTGGAATTAGAGGCAGGAATTAGCTGGACTGCACTGAAGTGTTTGAGATACTAGTGTTAAAAGCCCATTCTTGTTTGTTTTTCTGAGACAGGCTCTCACTATTAATGGAACCCTGGCTGGCCTGGAATTCGCGTGGTAGCGCAGGTAGAGTAGGCAGGGTCCCAGACAGCAATTTGCTGCCAGAGTGCTCGTATTAAAGGTGTGCGCTGGCTAGACATCTGCTTTCTCTCGCCTGCCTTGGCACTTTCTGGTCATAAGGTGCCCATATAGAACAGCCACTGTGGAAGTCCACATGAACTACGTGAGCATCCACCAATAAATGTTAGAGCATGGTCAGGACTATGTTCCCAAATCAATAAATAAAATACAATTTATATCAGTTGTTGGGCCTTCCCGGGCCTCAGCACTATCAGTTTTGTCGATCATGGAACATTACACGACATGGCATCTTTCAGTTTATACTCTGTGTTCACACCAAGAGTCACCTTGTTATCCGGGTAACTAAAACATTCAGGTTGTGGTGTCTATCATCATGTGGAAGACTCATGCAGGACACTTGGCAGCTTGTGGCCAACCCTATCCTGATGAGTGCTGTTGGCAGGTCTTGCTGGACATCACTGGCACACGCAGGCATGTGCTTATGTGGAATGTTACCAATCAATGGACCGCTGCAGGCACGAGGTCTATCTTCAGATTTAGTAGATCCGGCCAAACTGTCTTTCAAACTGGTGGACAAACTGTGTTCACGCCTTTAGGTGTACTGTTACAGGCATACAGAATGAGATAGGACTCTGGGTGTCCTGAGTGTCCTCAGCCTCAGAGGGCTCACACTGCCACAGCCACATTCATCCCAGCTGTCTGCCTCCTACAACATGGGCCTTATTCTGCTTCTAGCCAAGAAGGGTCCCAGGTCTGACGGCGTAGGCCGAGCCATGGCTGGCCCCTAAAGCCACATGATGCCCAGGCATCCCGTAGCTGCAGGCCGCTTTTTACTTCTGGGACATGAAAGAGCTGTCACATTTCAGAGATGCTGGTATTTCTGGCTTCAGAATGAAGTCTTTGAGACAACCACAGTTCACCCTGCAGACAGCCTGACTTCAAAGGGTGGGAAAACTGAACAGTCTCTGGCAGAGGCAGCCACATCCTTTATGGCAAGCTCCTGCCGAGGGGCATTGAGGGGAAGGTGACTATGCCTTGGGATTCATTTTGGATCACAAAGTCACAACTAGGATCTTCAGAGAAGGAACCAGTAAAGCAGAGCTGGGAAAGTCAGCTTGTGCTGTGCTGGAGTGGGGAGATGGCCAAGGTAGTCTCGGGGCTGTCTGGACTGGAAGGAGCCGAGTACCCCAAGCCTGATAATACTCAGTGGCCTGGGAAAAGCACATGACAAACGACACACAGGAGTGACTACCTACCTAGTAGGGGACACTACCTGCAGAATGGCTGGGGGGGCTCTCTCCATGAAGCAAAAGGCAGCCTGCATTCCAACGGGCAATCCCACAGGGCAAGAGGCTCACTGTTTCTCTTAGAAGGTTCCCCAAGGCCCCCGGACAGTGTGAACATGTCCCTGGCTCTGGTCACAGAGGATCTCACAGGTTCTCAAGAAGCCCATGCGTGGGGTTGAAGAGATGGCTGTAGGCAGTTAAGAGCACTTACTGCTCTTTCAGAAGACCCAGGTTTGATTTCCAGCACTCACACGGTGACTGAGAATTGTTTGTTATAGCCAGGTGGTGGTGCAAAATCCCAGCACTTGGGAGGCAGAGGCAGGTGGGTATTTGAATTTGAGACCACCCTGGTCTGAGTTCCAGGACAGCCAGAGCTACACAGTGAAACCCTGTGTAACCCATACTACCCTGTAGGGGGGTAAGTGGGGAGAGGGGAGAGAGAGAGAGAGAGAGAGAGAGAGAGAGAGAGAGAGAGAGAGAGAGAGAGAGAGAGAGAGAGAGAGAGAGAAAGGTTTGCAATTTCAGTTCCAAGGGGGGCCAACATTATTTTCTGTACACCTTTTTCTGGTTTCTGTATGTACTGAATGTAGATGGCGCAGACACATATTCAGGCAAAGCACTCATACACACAATAAAACAGAAGTTAAAAAGGCTAGGTCACCATGTTTTCATTTGAAAGTCATTCATTTCCTCTGAACTTTCTCTGGGAGGCAGCAAACAGGTTCTCTCCCTGACTACATGAAAATGCACAAATACCCAACAATTCTGCACAGGAGCACACAAGGAGGCACCTCTTTCTGAGACTGAGGTGGGGGAGGAGTGGGATACAGTACCACCCCACCTGGGTGGCAGGCCAGACTTTAAAGCTGCTTAGATGACATGCAGATTAGGTGTGGTGTGCACACTTTTAATTCTAACATTTGGGAGGCAGAGGCAGGCTGATCTCTGATGCCAGCCTGGTCTACATAACAAGTTCTAGGCCATCGAGGGCTACACATTGAGACTCTTGTCTCATAAAGTTACTTTTCCTGATGATCCACAGATGACGTAAATGACTGGTTTTTATTTATCACCATTAGAAATGGATTCAGTTGGAAATTAAGTCTGAGCAACATTCTGAAGCCGATCATTTAATGGCCTCTCAGGATCCAGGCCTGGAGGTGGGAAGCTCCTGAAGGCCTAGGGCATCCTCTGCTTCACTGTTCCTAGAACACTGGCTCTTCACTGTGGAGTTCATTGCCTCGTGGTTGTAGAATAGCTGCTGCAGCTCCAGATGCCATGTCCTCATCTGGATGGACTTACAGCTGCTGAAAGGAAGAGGCAGGATGCCAGGTTTTCTGTGCTTGCTTGTCATTTCCAGAAAACAAACCCATTCCTAGCCAGTCCCTCCTCCCCTTAGCTGAAACTTACCACAGGCCACTCCAACTTCAACTGGGATCCAGACACTGAATTAGGACCATCTCAACAGTACCCCTCTCTGGGACTGGGTGTAGATCTCCCACCAAACCCAGGAGTAGGTGAGGCAACTGATGGGGGCTATGCCCCCCAGGCCTGCCCTCCCCAGCCCCCTGCTGACCCATGGGCACAAGTAGTAGAACCTGTATCCAGACTTCATGGCCTTGCCAATTCATGCTGGAGAGAAAACAGAGATGCAGCACCAATTCATGTGACACGTAACTTCTCACCAGGCACGTATGTTGAACACAGAACCCTTGCAAATGACTGACTTAGAAGTAGGTGTGACACTTAGGCTGACTATAGATGGATACAAGTCAGTCCTCAATGTCCTGTTGAGGGGACAGTGACCTGGGCCTCGGCAAAAGCCCCGAGCACAGTAAGTACTTTTTACCACCATGAGGCCCCTTTTCATTAATTTGGTGTTTGTATAGGCGTGCACATGCCACAAGGTATGCGTGGAGGTCAGAGGACAACCTATAGGAGTTAGCTCTCTCCATCCACCATATGGATCCTGGGGATTGAACACAGGTTAGCAGGCTTGGCAGCAAGTTCCTTTACTCACTGAGCCACTTAAACGGCCCTTGGGACATCCCTGAAACACGCTTTATTTGTACCTAGTCCATACCAGATGCATCCAGTGATGTCTGAAACAATGTCTGAACTTCTAGGAAGAAATCAATGGACCAAAACTTAGAATGGACCTCATTCGTCATTTCTCAGACTAGAGACCATGGTAGTACCTCCCCCAGGCTCTGTATAGGCACAGATGGGCAGGGCTGCCCAAGAGAAACCTGACACAGCTTATAACATCTCAGTAGCCTGGATCTTTGTACAATCAGACACAAACCTCTGGCCTTGCCTGGCTGTGGGGCTCTGTTCCTGCCACTGGACTGGGGGGGTTCTTGGTCAGGGCTCCTTACTCATCCCCAGCTAGACCAAACACCCTTTAACCTCTGTAAAGCATCCCTGATCTGCCTAAGAAAGTTTTCTGCCTCAAAGCTGCTTCTTGGCATCTCTTTCAATTCTGGGTGTCCCATGCCACAAACCTCTCTTTTGAGATGGGGTCTCATGTAACTAAGCCTGGCTTTGAACTCGTTATGTAGCAGAGGATCTTAAACTCCTAAATCTCTTGTCCCTCTCTCTACCTCTTGAGTACTGAGATGACAGATGAGCACTACCACACCTGGTTTGTGTTGTGCTGGGGATCGAATCCGGAACTCTCTGCAAGCTAAACAAGCAGGCTACCAACTGAGGCACATCTCCAGCCTTCCAAATTTACTAATAAAATCCCTAGGCTGGGACTATCATTCAATGGTAGATCATGTGCCAGGCCCTGGGTTGATCCCCACCACTGCAAACATGCTGGGTATAGCATGTGTGGAACGTTCAGTGATCTCTAGCAAGGAGCATGGGGGGATCCTTGCACTGAAGACTCTGAGATAACCCCTTTTTCTATGCATTAAGTTACAAACTCTGGAAGTGTGAGGCACACAGCAGGGTGTGTACGGTGTGGGGCTCACTGCTCCCGGGCTATGTTTGAGGGCACTGGAGGAAAAGCTCACTCACAGCAGAGCATAACCCACTCACATTTAGAGGGAAAACAAAAGACACGGGCAGATGACATGGTCAGCATTTCTACTTCAGGGAACTGGTTAATCCAACCAGAAAAGAATCAGGAACATAATTGCACAGCTCTGGGGCACAGCGTCTGGACAGTCAGTCCCAGTCCCCCTCGCCCTCAGGATTGTCCTCCCGAGGCACCTCCAGGTCGTTGAAGTGGAAGTTGGCCATCATGTCACGTAAGGCCAACATCAGCCTGATCAAGCCTTGATTGCGGTTCGGACCCCCGGCCACTCCTTCCTCCAGCCTCTCCTGAACAATGAGACATATCTAAGTGGGGGCTGTCTGTACAGGTTTGAGACCCGGGTTTCATAGTCTGAGGCAGCTCAAGCTCCAAGATTGGGCCTGTCCCCTCCCAAGGTCCCTGCCCAGAAGACGCAGCTCTAAAGCCAAATGTGCATTTTAACCATGGCCAACCTACCATGATGCTGATGGTCTCTCAGCCTCACACTACTCACCCGGGGGTGGCTGCTGCAGTTTCTGCAGGCTGCGTCCCCACTTCCTAAGCACGGCACAGTGTCAGCCGTTCCTGCCTCCACCCTGAGCTGGACTTGCCCATAGCAACTTGGGAGGGAAAGACCAATATGCTCCATCAACATACCTCTGTGGTGTAATTTGGCAATAAAGACCGGAAGAAGAGGGCAATTGTGTTTCCATGGCTGACTGGACTCAGCCTGAAAATTAAAAAGGTCAGAAAATGAAGGTCAACAGACACTGTGGGGTCCCAGCCTTGTCAGCTGTCCTTACCCAGTCTAACTGCTAGGGACAGGCAGCCTCTGAGTGGGGCTTAGCTTCTGGGTACTAAACTGCGATCAGGGTCTGGGGTGGCCAGTGATGACTACTAACCAGCCTTGAGCGTAGCTGTGGACACCCAGAGCAACAAGGACAGAAGAGGTGTGGTGTCCCAGAGTGCTGGCTCTTTAGGGACCTAGCCTGCTGGGTCACACAGAAAGAAGACAAGGTGACTACAGCATCTGAAGGCTGGGGAGGGCATGGCAGTCACATAAGGCAGGAGGAGAGGTCTGGGCATCGCAGAGGCTGCGGCACAGCTCCACTCACAGTATCATGACACTGCCCTTCTGGGGACTCAAGAGCAGGGCAGGACGCTGTGACAGCAAGGCCACATCTGCCTGTCAGGACGTTTCTGACCCCAGTGAAAATTCTCGTCTTCATCTAAACCTTAAATGGGAGTCACTCCACTCAAATGCTTTGCCAAGGTCTAGGTGACCTGTGCTCCTTTCTTGAAACAGACTGTGTGGAGCAATGGACCCAGATGGGGCAGCTGTGACGACTAGGAGAGAAGGGAAATGAGTTCTCTCAAGACCCAGACTCTACAATCTGCCCACATGTACATGGCAGCCGGTGAATCAGGCATGTTCCATGTTAATGCTTGACCCACTACCCCCTTCTCCTGGCTCGGTCACATGGGCCTTCCTTTAGCGCTCACTGGACCTTACGCTCTGCCCTTGGAAGAGCGTTTCTGCACAGGCTAGAGTACCAGCTGCCACCCTCTGGCTGGCTGGGGCACATCTTTCCACAAAGCAGGTGACTTTGACTTCCTGGTCTGGTATGTCTTTCTTCTTTCTCAGTCACTTTCTCCCACAGGCAGATTTGACGCAACATCTACCTCTGGGTTCTAAGTTTGACGTCTGCTGTGGAGTGCGCCAGGTCAGAGGTGGCTCCTAATTTTGCTTCCCCCTGCGCTTCTCACACCTGCTACAAAACCTATGGGGCAGAGCGCAGACCTCTGGTGGGTTCAGAGGAAGATCCACGATACACTACTTGCCCTACTCCTGAGTGGACTGGCCCTTTTCACCCGTGTTTGTCTTTTTCCTTCTAATCTGTAAGGGCAGCCCCAGTGAGCCCCAAAGTACTACAGAGGGTTTGTGAGAAGACAAAGCAGGGAAGGCAAGTACCTCTCTGGTCTGACGTACGAGTAGATGGTGTCCAGGGGCGGCAGAGGATCAAATCCCATCACAGACTGTGTGGTCACGTCCTTTAGGAGGGGACAAAACCAGAGACTCTGGAGCACTGCTGGCAGCCCCTGCCTTCCTAAGCTTCAGTGGTCTCAACTCAGACTTGAGCCATCTGCCAGAAGGCAGTCATTATATCTGGCAGAAGTGGCCATTTCTGTTTCAAGAAACTTTAGGTCTGGGTGGAACAGAGTGTCCCAGAGGATCATCAGGGGGAACATGGATGGCATTTTATCTCAATCAGTGGGATGTAGGACAGAGGGCATTTTCCACAGGTGCCACCATCTACATTCATGTTACAAATGACTGGCCTAACTACAGACCATGGACTAGGGAGGAGAGCCACTGGGCTCCACTGGACTGCTGGTTCAGCAAAGGATGCAGCCTCGCCCCCCGCCCCCCGACATCTGGAAAGCAGAGCCACAGCTACTGAGTATAGCTGCAGGGGTTGTGAGGAAGGGCTAGGTCTCCATCACAGAGTCTGACCCCCTGGTGAGACAGCTCACTGAGGCAGTAATACAGTGAGGAAGGCCAGAGAAACTGGCTGAGGGGGAAGAGCCCGCTGTACCAGCTCTGGGTGGCATGCAGGCCACACTGTGGGTAGCTAGCTATACTGTGACTGGTACTCACAAAGTCCCCATTTTCAGCAGTCCTCTCTTACCGAGGGTAGGGCAGCAACAGCCTCCTTGATCTCAGAGAGTATCACATGGCGGTGGATGTTTCTGGGTGCACGCTGGTACAGCACCTTCCGCCTGAGGCCAGAGTAGACAATGGCTGATAAACTGGTGCCCACAGTGTAAAACACCAAGTCACCCACACCCACCTTGGGGGGAAGATCCAGCAAGGACTAGCCTGTTGCACTTCTGGAAAACCTCCTACCTCACTCTTGGATGGAAGCTGTGTTACTAGCCCATAGCACTGAAGCAAGAGCGGACTCTGAGAGACTCTACAAGCTTGTTCTGCACTCTGGTCCCTTCATCCATGTGAAAATGCGGGTAGCTGTGGGTAGTCTGGTGAGACACTAGATGGTGTCCACAGCGGAATCCCTGGGTGTCAGTCGTTGCTGCTACCGTAGGAGGTCTGCCTCCTGCTGGACACAGCTGAGAACCAGTGCAGGGAGAGGGCTGGAAGCAATCGTACTTCCTCTTCCCTGTTCCTCAGAGAGTCTAGAATTTAGCCTCGTGTGTACCACCGGACCACCTGACTACATAGGGAGATGATACGGCCAGGGCAGAACAGAGCCCTCAGAACCAGCCTGGCCTGGCTGCCCCCAGAGCAGGATGCTGACGAGGACCATGAGCAAAACTGCACAAACGGGCAAAAGCGTTACTTCTAAATGCAGCAGTAACAGCCTCTGAGTTACAGAAAACCCCACATGTAGAAATGAAAACAACAACAGGTTGCTTTGGCTGCCTTTTGGCTTCAACAATTTTGTCAACAAGAGTAAGAAAAGCAATCAAGGGCTGGAGAGATAGCTCAGAGGTTAAGTGCACTGTTTGCTCTTCCAGAGGTCCTGAGTTCAATTCCCAGCAACCACATGGTGGCTCACAACCATCTGTAATGAGATCTAGTGCCTTCTTCTGGTGTGTAGTCATACATGCTGGCAGAACACTATATACATAATAAATACATAAGTCCTTTAAAAAAAAAAGAAAAAAAGGAAAGCAGTCATGATAGCAACTATGGGAACAGAGCACAGAAGCAGAAGCAAGCTAAACAAACACTAGGGGCCTAACAGCCACCCCTTCACATCTCTGTAAATAGCCACAGCCAGTCAAGTTGAAATCAGAGGTCCCGTGTGTGTGATAAAGACCCAGGAGGAGCCGGGCGGTGGTGGCGCATGCCTTTAATCCCAGCACTCAGGAGGCAGAGGCAGGCGGATCTCTGTGAGTTCAAGACCAGCCTGGTCTACAAGAGCTAGTTCCAGGACAGGCTCCAAAACCATAGAGAAACCCTGTCTCGAAAAACCAAAAAAAAAAGACCCAGGAGGAGACACAGAGAGGACTTGTGCCTGCAGGGTGCTCTCCCTGAGCTAAGTTCTTGGGCTTATCTATCAGGCTCAGCTCACCTATTCTCACAGGCCTCCACAGCAGGGTCCCCAGCATCCACTGCCTGCAGAACCGCACGGACATTTTCCTCCAGCCAGCTCATAGTGGTGGGATCTTTCCAAAGAAAGTGTGACCTCCCAAGGTACAGACTCACCAGCTGACTCAGGGCGGGCGGCTGGCTGCGGAAGAACAAGGAAAGCAGACGTTTGGCAGAGCTCCATGGTGGGCAAAGGCATAATCCAGGAAAAGCCTTGGACTAAGGAGGCTACCCCTTGGCTGCTGACCTGGGATATTTTACCTTCCGAGGGCTGGGTTCCTGAGGGGTTGAGCACACTTCGTATTGCTCAAGTTTAGTAATAAATATCACTTGACAGAAATGTGAAAAACAAAAGAATGAGTGTTTTTATGTGTGGAACAACACCAAAGGATGGCCTACAGCTGCTGGTTAGTAGCCTGTAGGAAGGGCGGGAGCCATGACATGATATATATTGTTTTTTTTTTTTTTTTCCTGTGTGTTTTTTCTTGTTTATGCGAAATGGGACAGCACAGAAATCTGGGGAAATGAATGATAGTAAAGAGCATGAGCAAACCTCATGAGACGAGAGGCGTTCACCTGGCCCGCAAAGTGAGATGTCTTGCACATGGATGTGGGCTCTAGGGGCTTTCTCAGCTGGACAGTAGCCCCCAGGACAGACTTCTCTCTTCCTTTAAGGGGGAGGGGAACGGTGCCTACAGGCTCACATCCTTACCTTATCTCAGCATCTGGCCCAAAGAAGCGGTGGTTTGCGACTGTTGCATCAGGTCGCACACTGCAACACTCCAGCAATGGCATAAGAGCTGTGGGGGGAAAAGTAATGGCTCCATGTATATATACTGCAGTCCTGTTGTTCTGGCTCCCAGCCACCATATGCTCTTAAAGTAAAGGAAGCTGGATAACCAAGGGTCATTTCTGACTAGCATTACAAACTTGTTCCTAGGCTGGGTCTCTCACACTAGGCTCCAAGGTACCTCTGAACCCTGGGAAGTGGATGCATGTCCTGCTGACTCTTGTTCCATCTGCATCCAAGGAAGACTTGCCTATCACCTCTAAGGCTGGATGTTTCATCGTACAAAGGTCAGACTTGAATGTAGACTAGAGGGAGTGGGGCTGACTGTGTCCTGCAAGAGCTAACTCTGCAGGGACCAGAATGAGATCAGTGGTCAACACAGGGCTCCCCTTGCATGGAGGGCTGTTCACCAAAGTGTTGGCTTCTCTAAACAGCTTGCATGCTGGTAAGCTACAGAACATAACACAGTCCTCCCAGTGACTTTCTGGGGACAAGCTCGTGCTGCAGCACCCTGTGAGGAGGTAGTGCTTGCTCAGCACATAGACTATCAGCAGAAAAGGCAAGGCTAGCTCTGTCAGACCACAGAAGGCATAGGCAGCTTCTAATGGAACTGACCCTCACCGGGTCTGAGGTTGCTCAGGTCTGGTTGGAGGGCAGAGTTCTGGCCAAGGCTCCAGGAACTCAGAGCCTACAATGTGGTGGCGATCCTGGGTCTCTCTAACTGAAAAGAGGTCGCCCCACAGGACTCTATTTATTGTCAGTGTCACTCCGTGTACACTCTTAGGAAACATCTGGTGGCCACACGGCTGTGAGAATGTCCGGGCAGTACACCAGGGCCTCCTCCTGGCTACCAAAGCCAATGCCCTTCAAACTGTCTCTGGGCTAGCCTCAGGCCTTTCTAGATATTACTTCTACCTTTTTCCTTTATTAACAAAGACCATCTGACATACTGTGTGCTCTTCTATCCTGAAACAAGACCCCAAAGACATCTGTCTCTCTTTATGTTCTCATCCCTCACCAAACTTATAGCAGGCTCAATGAAGTAGGTAGATTAGCTACCTAACTAGAACTACACCAAGTCTTTAGGCCTTTAAGGGAATGCAATCTTTCCATTAAGTATGGGGAGGGCTGTGATTCCCCAGACAAGAGGTGGCACTTACCTCCAGGGAACATGGTAAGCGCCTGCTGTATCAGGAGGGAAGCCTGTTGCCTGGCAGAGGTGAGCTCATGCTCAGGTAGGTCTGTTTGCTGACTCAGAAGGAAATATGCCAGTGGAACTGAGAAGGCAAAGTTTGGGAGCTGGGACAGGTTCCGATGAGCCTATAAGGGACGAAGAAACAAGGCCTGGAGCCTTAAGTTCATGAAAACAAAACACGTAGTTTACAGATATGCAGTGGATGAGGCTCACCACTGCTCCTCTGTGGCCTCTCACCTGACCTCAGGATGAAGTGAACCGTTCTCTACATGTAGAAAACACAAATGGACACGAAGGTAGGAATCAACCCAACCAGATGACTGATGCTTCAGCAGCAGACAAGGGCCTCAGCCCACTAAGGATGGATGTCCCTGCCTAGACTCTCAGCTCCGGAAGCAGGGAAGGCAGCACCCCTGCCTATGTAGAAAGCTCATATGTAAGTCAGCAAGAGTGAGACCTGATGCCACCTGACCTACAAGTGTTTTCCAGTAATTTCCTTTCTTTCTCTATGGTTTGTGAGAAGACAAGTATTGGGGAATTTTTGTTTGTTTGGTTTTTCGAGACAGGGTTTCTGTGTAGTTTTGGAGCCTGTTTCTGGCACTAGCTCTGTAAACTAGGCTGGCTTCGAACCCAAAGAGATTCACCTGCCTCTGCCTCCTGAATGCTGGGATTAAAGGTGCCTGGCGAGTGTTGGGGAACATAATTTTAAAGTCTGTGACTTTTGTTTATGTTGCATTTGTTTAACTCTGTGAAGCTGTGATTCTCTGCCTGTCTAAAACACCTAATGGTCCTAATAAAAGGCTGAATGGCCAATAGCAAGGCAGGAGCAAAGACAGGTGTGGCTGGCAGGTAGACAGAGTAAAAGGAGAAAGGAGGAAGAGAAGGAGAAGCAAAAGAGGAGAGGAGGACATCAGGGGCCACCCACCCAGCCACCCAACCACTGTCAGCCGTGGAGTAAGAAGGAAAAGACGATACCAGAAGAAAGGGAAAAGGAAGAAGCAGTAAGAGGGAAAAGGTAGACGGGACAATTTAAGAAAAGCTGGCTAGAAACAAGCCAAGGCCATGAGAATAAGCTTCTCTGTGTATGATTTACTTGGGAGCTGGGTGGTGGGCCCCCCAAAAGCCAAAAGAATAAACATCATACAATAGACAAATGACTAGTTCTCCGTCTTTCCTATTGTGTATGTTTGGTGCACACACACGTATATGAGTGCGGAGGCTGGAGGCCAATGTTCGGTGAAATTTCCTCAGTCTTCCAAATTTATTTCACTTCTTAACTTTTTAAAAATAATTTTTATCTATTTATTTATTGTATGTGTGTGTACACATGCATACCATGGCACATGTGTAGAGGCCAGAGGACAACTTGCAGAAGTCAGTTCTTTCCTTCCACTAAGTGAGTTCTAAGGATCAAACTTAGACCATCAGGTTTGGTGTTAAGTGCTTTAACCTGTTAAACCATCTCTCTGCTTCTCTACCTTTATGTTCTGAGACAAGGTCTCTCATCTCACCATCCCCGAAGAGCATCAATTTGTCTAGGCTGGCTAGCCAATGCACCTGCCCCTGTCCTGTCCCCTACAGTACCTGGGGTTACATCACACATCATCATGCCCTGCTTTTTATTCCACAACCACATAAGCCACAATGATTATTCACACAGCCCTCTGTGGCATTTCCTGTAGCCATGCTTAAATGAGGTCCAGAGATTCTATAAATCAGATCCCCAAAAGCAAAACTTCCAATTATACCAAGCATTATGTAACTTAAAATGATTATCTCTTTTTTGATAATGTAAAAATATATACTGTGTTGCCAGGTGGTGGTGGCGCACACCTTTAATCCCAGTACTCAGGAGGCAGAGACAGGTGAATCTCTGTGAGTTCGAGGCCAGCCTGGTCTACAGAGCGAGTTCCAGTATAGGCTCCAAAGTTACACAGAGAAACCCTGTCTCGAAAAACAGAAAGACCACCACCACCACCAAATGTACTGTGAAAAGAACTCAAGAGTAGAAACAGAAAACAAAGGCTTGTCACCTTTCTCCCTGCTTTTCCCTGCTGGAAGCAACCAGCATAAAACTCAACGCCTCCCTTCTCTGACAAGATCCAAGAAGATGGGATGGGATGGGATGGGATGGGATGGGATGGGA